CATTGCTTTGGTTTTGCTGATGTTGACTTTGAATCCATGATCGGCGAGTCTGGTGTTCTAATCTTCAAACATCTGTGCTGCATTCTGCTCAGACGTGGCTGTTAAAACGATATCATCAGCATATACTAGATTCCAAATGTCACCAGTGCGTATCGGTTTTGTGATTTCTTCCATCACAGTTATAAATAAAAGTGGACTGAGAATCGAGCCTTGGTGAACTCCAACGCCGATGTCAAATGCATCTGTGTTTCCAACCGTTGTGCTGACAAGAGTCTTAGTATTCGTATACATTTCCATCACAAGTCGAACAAGATATTCTGGAATGAGTTGTCGACGTAGACTCCACCTGATTGCTTCATGGGGAACTCGATCAAATGCTTTTTCAAGGTCTACAAAAATATGTGATAGTTGTTGATGCTTTGCGAGGTACTTCTCTTGCAGTTGCCGAAGGATGTGAATTGCATCAATTGTTGATTTCCCCGCTAGAAAACCAAATTGATAATTTCCGATTGTGATGCACGACGTTAATCTTCTCTCAATGATTTTTTTGACAATTTTCAGCGAGTGTTCTAACAGACGTATACCCCGATATGATGAACAGTTCAATGGATCACCTTTGCCTTTGTATAGTGGGACTGTCATGCTATAGTTCCATTCAGTCAACATTGAGCAATTTCTCCAGATTTCACGGCAAAGTTGTAGTAACGTTTGGATACCTGCAGTACCAGATGCTTTGATAATGTCATTTGTGAGTCCAGAGGGCCCTGCTGCCTTTCCATCCTTCATAGCTTTTAGAGCTTCTGTAAGCTCCTCTATAGTGTTGTCTGGAATCGGACCTTCGATGGGTGGAGCATCAAAGTTAACATTGATGGGATTTGTTTCGTTTAACAGACGGTTAAGAAATCAATTTACGTGGCTGATGGTCCACTTTTGTATGTTATGAGATGTTCTGACCTCTTTCTAAAATATGTGTTCAGTAAATAAAACCCGTGACTTTCAGCAAACTCAAGGATGCGGTTGCCATCTTCATTCCGTTTTCCATAGCCAAAACCGCCATGTACGTTGTCAAAACCATCTGTTTTCTCTCCAACGTGGCCATTGAGATCGCCTCCAATCAGGATTGTTCCGATTTTGGTATTGTTGAGATGGTGTCAGAGAATACAGTCCAGAAGTCATTTTTCATCTCTTCTGATTCGCCTGTCTGTGGTGCGTATGCAGAAAAAATAATCAATGTTTGCTTTTCTGTGCGAAGCTTGATCCACATGAGACGTGAACTAAGCCTTTTAATATCCAGTACTTCTTGGGCTAGCGGTTCTCTGACAAAAATTCCAACACCATTTTTGGCCGTCTTTTGACCATTCCAGAATAGTTTATATTTTTCTTTGTCTGAGTTGACATGACAGACACCATTCGATTTCCATTGGGTTTCCTGAAGGCAGCAGATGTCAATCCTTCTACACTCGAGCATTTCTGTGATTTCCATGCTGCGGCCAGTCAGTGATCCAACATTGAGCGTTCCAAGTCTAAGTACCATGGAGGGGCCATTCTGAATTTTTCTGCAACATCCCTCCGCTATTGCATACTTCCCAGGGATTCTTGGCACCCCTTGACCACTTAAGGCCTGCTGGGGACTAGGGGCCGTTGTTTTTCTTTGTAATGGCATAAGAGTAATTTGGGGAAAAGTTTTTACATCCGGACACCCATCCTGACGACAACCACCAGTTATAAGCGGTGGGCCTAGCCTTTCGCTCAAAAGCACGCAAGGCAGCGTGGATGCAGTTTTATGTCATACCCAGGACCAATCATGTTACTGTAACATGTCAACTCTCTGTCAACTACTGCATTAAATGTAATAACTCTGGAATTTCTTGGTATCGATTGGATTATTCTTCTGACCCTCCAAAGGCTTTCATTGTAATAGATTTGAGTGATATCTATTATTATCACAATTTTGACATTTTTAAAAAACCTATTATCTTTTGTTCTTACTCTTCTTTCGATTAGTTGCATTCGTGTTGGAGTTGATATAATTACAGGAAAATCCTTCAATAATGTTTCATTAGCACTACTCCCAGATAGCAGAACTTTTGCTGCGTTGCTAAATTCATTGTCCATATCCTCCAACGTTTCCGTAATTTTTTGAGAAAAATTGTTGTACGGTACAAAAATTAAAATCTTCTTATTAGATGCTCTGTACGTTGGTGTTAAATAACAGATCACTCCTGCAATTGCTTTTAATATGTTAATTGTTAAGTTTGTCCGGAAAAAAAAACGTTCTGAGGTTTTTCAAATTTTTCTTCTTCCTGAAAATAATTAACTAAAATATTTTTTACTAAATTTGGTAATACATTGAATATATTTTGCCGATAAATTGAGATTAAATCAGAAGACATTTTTAAGATTATTTTCGGATTTATAGTGTATAAACTATTATACACTATAGTTTATATTTTATAAATAAAATTTTTGTTTCAGTGAAAGTTTTTTAATCTTTTTTTGAATGTGTTTCAGCTTTAAGAAACCAGATTTTTATTTAACAAAAAACAACTTTTGCCATGTTACCCGGTCTACGACCAGCTGGCTTGCTGGTGCCCACACTTTGCTACTCTAATATTCGTTCAAGCTTTTAAGAAGCAGTGTTTTTAACGCATCTTAATTTGGAGATTTATTACAATATATTGGTGGTGGAATAACATGCAGTTTGTTTTAAATTTTGATATTTTTAGTGACTGCTATGATTAAGTTTGCTTGCTTTACCAATATTTTGTACCATTCACCATTTAAAACAATCTATTTTCCAGTTTTAATTTAATGTTCAAAAGGTTTGGTTTAATTATTTGATAATTATCGGATGATAAATCTAACCAAAGGATGCAATAGGCCAGATAAATATTGAACTTGTGAACATTGTTACTTGCCACTTGGTCATGATTTATGACGTCATGAGCATTCCATTCAATCAACAAATTTTATCCTGTTGGAGTGGCCATAAAAAGTTCAGGGCTGTGTTGGGTGGGATGGAGTGCGGAAGCGCATTGCCAGCTGTGGAATGTACCAAATATTATAAAAATATAATAGTTTTCAAAGAATTTGGTGGCTGAGCATTTTTCACTTATCAAGTTGAGCATGTTTTTTCTTGTTTTTGCTAAAAAATAAAAATTGTTGAATATATAAAAAATTTTAGACCCCATTCTGACTATATAGATCATGTTGTGACAATGAAAATAAACGAAATGAAAAATTACGACTATTGGATGATTGGAACACAGTAAAATGTGAAATCGCTCTGTGACTGAAGTAATTCAACTATTGTTCAAGTTCTCGTTCGATCTTTTGTGAGTAAGCAACCCAGTTCTTATGAATAAAAACATTTGTAGCTACTTTTTGAAGTTGTGCAATTATGACTGAAAAGCCGTCATATATCTAATAGTTTTCCTGTATTAGTTTATTAAATCATTGCCATTATTTGGCGAAAGTCCGACCAGGAACAGACAACCAACCAAACGGAGATTTGCAATGTTCTCAGATTTGCATAATGATACAGCAATTTTTATTTCACAATGCCAGCTTTTTAAATTGGATGTTCGAAACAGTACACTAAGTAAATTTTCATTTTTACCAAAACGTTGGAGCAAACTAAAAGGAAGAAAACATTTTTAACTTTAAAAACTGTACTCTGATTTTACAGAGGAACTATACAATTTATAACTCATTTAATGAATTTATATATATATATATATATATTTCATATATATATATTCCAAATTTCATATATATATATGAAATTTGGGTTCAGACTGTCTTAATAACTATATATATATATTTATGCATATATAATGTATCCGTTTGTTTTTTCTATTTATTTTATTTGAATAGTGATGGTATGATTGCATGAAATGGATCGAAAGTAGGCAGTTCTGTATTATGTTGCGCTCGAGTTTTATTTTGATTTTCTCTGACACGTCCGAACATGTGATGAAACAATTAGTTTTTCTTGCGTCATTTTATTTTATTTTCACGTCATTTTGTTTCGAAGCTCATTAACCTGTTATTAACGCTTTAAACTTGAAAATGTGGTAGATGCAAATTACAGAGTCGACTTTTATTTGAAAAATCGCAATCGAGTTTTTTTTACCAGAAAATAATCGAAATGGAAATGATTTTTCGACTTCGAAATATTTCTATATCTGAACAACTCTCTATTGCTAAAGAAATAAATTAAAGATATATAAATGAGATTTCCATGCATAAAGACAGATCTTGTTTTCGTTCATTCGGTATTTTTTTAATTGCGATAAAATTTTTTGAATCATAGTTTTCATGCCTGTTACTACATTTTTCATTAAAATTTAATGATGACCATGAAATGATGTAACAATTAACATTCTTCATGTTTTGCAATTGAATTTTCATCGAAAGTTTATTTCTGAAATGATTTATAATTCAATTTTTAACAGTTCGACGATTTTTTAAATTTTCGAATATAAAACAGCCAACTTTGTATACCGCGTAAATTTTTATTGTTGACAGCAGAAATGCATAAAAGTTAATATTTATTATGAAAATAAAAGATTAATAATAATGGACAATACTGATGTTATAGAAATTTAAACAAAACAAAATGTCGATTCATCAACAATTGTCATAAATATAAACAAAACCCTAAAAAAGCATGTAAACAATAAATGAAATTTTAAAGGATCTAATGATCAGCAAAATGAAATTATTCATTGAAAGTTGATAGCCACCAAATGCGAACACATCACCACCTCCTTATCCCCCTTCATGTAAAAGTTTTAGATTCCAATCAAATTTTTATTTGCAATAAGAACAATCATCAAATTTCCACTGAATTTTACAAAGAAAAGAAGGATACTGTCTTGAAACAACGAAATTTTCAGCAATCTATCATTCCCAAATGCAAGAGATGTTTTTTGAAATAAAAAGTTTCTGATAGAGCAAAAGTAGAACGTAAAAAATTTCATAAATACAACTATAAATGTATTAATAATCTCTAACACCTTATTTTTAAAAAAGTTCTGCGTAGATATTTAAATGAACAATTTGAAAATTAGAGTTGAAAAAAAAAATATGAATGAACACAATGTTATCGTTAAGTCTTCTTGCAAGAAAGTTAAACGTAGAAAGGGGAACAAAAACCACGTGAATAATTCAATAAATATAAAAATGAAAAAATTACAATAAGTCTTCAGGTTATATTATTGTGGTGAAAATAATTAAAAAATAATAATTTACCAGTAAAACAGCAGTTAGTAATGAATACTTCTTGTTAAAAGCCAATAAAAAAAACAGAGAATTTTATTATAAATTTAAACGATTAAAATAGAATTGTCGTCATGGCATATTAATTAATTAAGATTAATTAATAAGTAGTAAAACGTCTTGAAGTCATGGAGTATATATCATTAGTAATAAGTCATAAGTTGTATATATATATATATATACATATATATATATATATATATATATATATATATATAAACAAAAAATACATAAACAGTATTGTCGTCTAAACATTCATTACTACTATTATACACGCTATATATAAATATTTATATATGTATACATGTAAGTGTATCTGTGTGTGCGTGCGTGTGTGTGTGCGTGCGTGTGTGAGTGTGCACGCGTCTTAATGCGTGCGTGTTGTCGATATTCATTCGTTTGTCTATTCCCTCTCTCCATCGCTGTACGTCAGAGCATCAAGACATCATTTGGAAAAGATAATTAAAAACCGCGACAAAAGAAGAAATAAGTAAAAATAAGTCAATAAATAAGTAAATAAAAATAAAGATAGAGTGTAATAAGTAGTTAATAATGGATGGAATTTCTGAATAATGAACGCTTCATTATGTATAATTGTACATTTATTAAATAACTCACGCGATATACACACACGCAATCATACGTACTTACATTCATACATGCATACATAATAACAAACTGAAAAGTCTGTTATTATGTATGCATGTATGTATGTAAGTACTCTATCTTTAACACACATACATACTTCTTGCATACACACATACGCCACACACACACATATACATATTTTTAATATGCATGTCAGTATATATTATATATAACAAAAGTAAAAATATAATAATAATATAATATTAATAATAGATATCTTAGTTCATTAACGTCTTTTCAATGCTAAAATGAATATTGAAAAATATTTCATCTAAACGGAGGTATAATACAGAGAAAGAAGTTAGTCTAATTGAACGCACATTTTTACGCAGTTGGTGGTGTCTATTATAAAACAATATACAATTCATACACACGTTTGTATATTAGTATACAAACATATATATGTATATATTTATATACGTACACATACTATATATGTGTATATATGCATATATATGTGTCTGTGTATATTATATATATATATATATATATATGCTTGTAATACCATTTATAACTAATTATAACGTGTAGTTCTAATTTGAGGAGCTGATCAATGAATGAATGAAGTCGTAGGATATCGTGTAATTGGCTTATTTTCACTTTCCTGATTGATTGATTGAGTGCTCCGATGACTGATTGGTTGGCTGGAAGGTTGATTGATTGATGGATTGATTGATTGGTTGGTTAAATGAATGATGGATTGGTTTGTTGGTTGAATGAATGATGGATTGATTGGTGACTGATGAATGGATGGAACGAATGGTTATGTCAGTTCGCCAAAAAAGTTAATAATAACCAAATTATAAGTGAATTATAATGAATGAATGTGTGTTTGTATGTATGAATGAATGAATGAATGAATGAATGGATGGATGGATGAATGAATGAATGAACGAACGAATGAATGGATGGATGGATGGATGGGTAGATTGAATAAATGAATGAATCAATGAGTGAATGAATCAATAAATAAATTTTTAACGGATAAATAGATAACGTTATAAAAGAATCTAATTAAATTAAACTAATTAGATCCAATTATGGCTTAATTAATATGATAACGATGATGATTGTGATGATGGTGACGATGATGAAAGAAATAATGTGCTAATACCATCTTCCTCAGTAAAAAATCAGCATCAACAAATAAAGGTATTAAAAATAATAATGAAAGAACATAATAAATAAATAAAAAATACGGAAAGAATGACATCAATTACTTTCAAAAACTTCGATACGCATGTAACAACTCTTTCAATCAATCATTCAATTAATTACTAATTAACTAAAACAATCGCAAACATGCACCCGCTAATAATTAATTAATTATTGAACAGGTAACAAAATAAACAATCTTAATTATATTATTATTAATAAATCTATCTACATTGAAGTATTATGTACAATTGTTTGGTTATATGAACGCATGCAAACAGATACGCATACACACACACACACACACACGCATGTTGGTTGCGTGCGCTTGTGCATACGTGCACAGGATCACCTACAATTTTTAAAAAACTTTTTTTATTCTCAGTATTTACAAGGATTAAGAATTATTAATCT